ACAACCAGCCCCCTCACAATGCATTCTCCCAAACTCCACCGTCAAGAGGGAGGAGGAGGTTCCCGGTCAAAACCGCTGAAATCTAAGAGAAAATTTCATGAACGGAGGAAATTTCTCTAGCTGCGCAGAAGCACTTTTTCAGCAGCTGTCTACAAAGACCAAAATTCGTGCCCCTACTAAGACTCTCTCGATGGTGAGCACGAAAACGGAAAAAATCGTTTATCAGCAAGATGGGGAGGAGGGGAGGGGCAATCACGAGGGCACCGGAAGCAATAACAATCCTTCTCACCAGCGGTGTAGTAAGGTTACGGTAGATTTTTCACAATGGGGCTGTATCCTGTGCAGTAGTTACCTGAAAACTATGAGCATTTTAAGCCATTCCAGTAATTTTAGCTACTTCTACTAATTATTGAGTTTGATTTTTGCAATCTAATTTACACTTTCAGCTTGATCCAGTATATTGGGAAGATCTACCAGAAAACGAGTACGGCGAACGACGTCTGGAATGTCATAACTACGATCCTGAAACGAAAAGTCGATTTCGGTGGAGATTCAACGGGTCAAGCATTCTTCCGAAGCATACTGGAACTCATAAAGAAGAACTTATGTGAGTGTTTCTCTTCTACTCCAAAGGAAACTGTTGCTGGTAGAGGAGAGCTCTATAGACGCTGACTGAATGATGGAGATATGAAAGGGTGAGGATCAGAGTGCGTAGTGGTGTTGGGGAGAAATTCTGCGATCACCACCCCCTCTCTCCTCAAAACCTCCTTCTCTTCTCCACTCACTCTTTCCCGGTTTCCCATCGCACCTACCATCTTCCTAGATTTTCCCAATATCTTATTAATTCTCCGAAGAGGTTCTCCAATTTCCTCTCAAAAAAGAGAAAAAAAACGACCAAATGCTAACTTCTTCGCTGGGGCTTCTCCGAGCTACGACGCGCGCTGGTGTGCATAGAGAAGAACTGCTACTTTTTATAGACGCTCCCCTCCTCTTGATCGTCTACTATGAGGAGGAGCACGAATAAGGGGCGCTCAGTGGTTTCTGTGTCCTCCCTCACAAGCGATTGACTGCCTTCAGCAGTGCACTACAGTTCAATAAGACTAAAAAGAACAACAGAAGGTCAGTTATGAAAACATTACCATGATGACTTACCAGTGAAAGGCGGCCTCTGCGGTGCAATGGTTAACATCCTCGTCCGGTAAGCATGAGGCTCAAGCTCAACTCAAGGGCTTGACTCAGTCTTCAAGTCCAACCTGAGTCAAGCCCTTGCCCATAGCACTCTTGTAGAAACCTACACAAAATAATGCTGCAGAACAGCCTGCAGGTACTAGCGAAGTTAAGCAAGCCGACTTCTTGATCCATACAGGCTTTTGCCAAAGGAAGCGCGATGGAGGGGGCCAAGCGCACACTCGAGAGTGGTATCAGCAAGGACCGAAAGTGGTCCTAGCAGGAACCCCACCCGATGCCAGCATGGACCGATGTTTGGAGATGTTGAGTCAACTGCTTGGTGGAATCGGAAAGTGCACGACGGCATTTTTATTGGAAGAAGACCTAATTAGCTGGAGCCTACGGTGCTATCGACAAGTCAACTAGTTAGCAGATGTACGCTGGGTTTGTGTTGTGTCGTCGTCGCAACTCGAATCTACTGCGCAAAATCATCTAGCGGGCCGAATAAATTAATCTGCTAGCAAATATTGTGGCAAAGTGACAGAATTCAGTTCACTCTGCTCTTAACGCGTTACGCTGCCTAATATGGATCTTATTGTTGAATAGCTCGATAGGTAAAACTGAGGGCGCCGATTCATTCGCTTTTACTACAACAACAATGTTTAATGGAATAGGTCTCTATAGTGAACCTTTTTCCATCTAATTCTGTTCCTACCTTGCTTCTTTCAGATTCGACAGAGGCTCGAACGCCTATCGTAGTCTGTTCGCAGGGGAATACAGCTTGCTGCATACATGAATCGCTTGGGAGAGCTTGCTACACACAACGGCTTTTGCTCAGAGGTCAGATTTCATTTCTTTTCTTTCGTTTTGCTCCTCCTCCTTGTTGTTATTCTTCACTGCGCCAGATTGGCGTTTTATTTTCTGAGTTGGGGTCAGACTTGCCCGAGGCCGACCCAGATCTACTCACGCCATTCATAACGAAACCCTTTACCTCTTCAGGCAGTGCTCTAGACTTGCCCGGGAGGGTCACCCTAAATTGTTCTCTCTTCTCTGCTGGCTCTCGCAAGTCACAGGATCCGAACTCCTTTTCCTTCTCGCTTTTCACTTCCAAATGTTACAACTTTTTGATCGAGGTGAAATTACCTACAAACCCAAAGCCAAACCTAAACTATCCTAAAGAAAGATCTCCCCATGCCGAAAAAATAGTCAACTGGCTTTTCATCCTCTTTCTAGGAAGACTTTAACAACCTGCCCACCTCAGAAAGGTCCAGAATATCTCATATATTTCATATTCTGGACTTTTTGGGTTGAGCGTCACATGTGAACTCCATTAATCCAACATACATATTAAGTGAGCCTCTGCCTTCACTTTCCCGCTGTTCCAACTATTGGTGGTAAGCGGCCCACTTTTAAATCTGCCCCTCCCCCTTCCGTAGGTAACAATACACCCTTTAGGACCATCTGTGAACCTTGATTGCCACTAGGTGATATTTTAGAGGCGAGGGAGCTTTGCAACTATTTAACTTTTTCGAGGCCGCTAAGTCAACGTTCCACAAACGTCGCAGAGCACGTAAATTTTGCCCAAGGCTCATAAAAATTTTTCTCCTTTGTCTCAATACCCTTTCGTCAGTCAAACTTACCTTACGCACCTCCTCTGAAGTTTCGCCACGTTCAGTTTTTTTTCCACAGCTCTTTCCGGAATTCCTCCAATTCTTCCCCAAATACTGTGGTCGAACTGTAAAATGGATACACGAGACTGTCTCGGACACTATGAAACGAGCGGAACACTTTGTTCTTGACGACTAACGCCAACACGGAGAATGGTATAGTGAAAACATCATTTTAGGAAATGAGTCACCCGCTTGAATTAGCATCTTCTTTCTTCGCGACTGCAAATGTCCTTGAAAAAATCCTTATACGGAGTGGGCCTGTTGTATCATGCAAAGGCAGGACTTAAATCGTTACCAAACAAGCAGCAGGTTTTTATTTGACTACTGCGAGAATCCTTTGCCAAAAACTTGCGAAAACTTGATAAGGCCCCTCGACTTTTTGGTCATCTTTCTTTGGTATACGCCACGCATTTGCCTTCTATTCATATCGTCGTGGCAATTTCAACGCGTGTTCAGCATTCACATTTAGTTAGGGCGGCGGCGCAGCGGGAAGAGTGAGCTTCCCGGATCAGTTTGAACGACTGGAGGCGTAGATCAGGCATGGTAGGGGTATTTCGCAGGTTCCCGTCAATACGTTGCGGCTGGCTACCTGTAACCTAATTTGAAGCTAAGTGGTAGCACGTGCTTCGTTTACACTCCGACAAGGGTCTAGATGGTCCTCATCAGGGTGAGAGATGATCATTATTATTGATTGGTACAAGAATGAAGCTGGACGAATTGGCCCCCCCCCGGGCGCCTCAAACGTCCCGATCCTCGAAAATCCGGCCTATAGATGCGCAGATAGGGATGCAGCTTTTAGTAACCGACATTAGCCCTGTCCTCACGTATAGATGCAGAGTGGTATATAAATTTTATTTCTTATTGGCTTCAACGGTATGGCACTTACTTATTGAAATTCCCTCCAGCCAGTGTTTGTTTTGCTTCAGTTCTCACCAGCTATCAATTTCTGCCCTTTATTTGCATATGTAATGGATGAGGAAGTGGTGCATGTCATTAGTACACCTGCCGGCCAGCAAAATAGGTCGTCTTGCAGCTGAGCTTCTAGGGCCAGAGCGCGACAACTTCTTTGAAAAACGCCGGAGCACAGGCAGGCATTAGGTTTGTTCAGCGTTGTGTCGTGCTACTAAATCGCACGCGGAGGAGTATCGTAAAGAGGTCGTTTTTTTAACCGACAGAACTGATAGAGGTAGTTTTCTCATGCTAGGTGACTGAAATGTTGTAACCTTTCCCCAACGTCTGGGTGGTGCGAATAATGCCGGCGCGCAATATTTCCGCGTGCGATGCTCGCAGTGCGTGTTACGCTTCCATAGCTCCATTGGCACAGATTGATGCCTCCTAAACGACACTGCGGCTCGAACTTCAATTGTCACCGTGAACAAGTGTCACCGTTTCAGATCCTCGCAGAAGAAGATCGGGGTAGATCTAACGCGAATTGGAGTACTCTACGCAAAGGAAGGGAACTCGTACAATCTTCGATTGGCTAAAAGTAAACTCATGGAAGAATTACGATGTGATTTTAACAATCACACTGCGCCAAGCAATGTAATCTCCCTAGTGGGTGCTTTCTATTATTCAACACGGTGTTACCTGTTCTCTTCTCACTTCTGTATGTGTTCAGGTGGCCAAGAGGAAAACCGCAAATCATCACTTGAGGATCGAACACATCTCCGCTGACAATGTCGGAGAGTACAATTGCACTTTGCGGCTTTATAAAAAGGTATGCCCACCCCTCACAGTCATAGTATAGTCATTTTTTAAAGCTCAAGTTTTGTTGCTGTACTTTGCGAATAAGGGAACTCTCCCAAGAAAATGTTGCATGAAGAGACCTTTTGCAGGACTTCCGCACGAAGAAGTTCTCCGTCGTTCTTGGATCGGATCCGCGGCTCTCTTCAGCGGAGAGGATTTCGCTCACACTTTCTATTAGCTGCATAATTCTAGTTATGATCTCGTTAATAGGGTGATAGGAAGTGTAATGAATTTTCTAAAACTGAATGGTTGCTCTTCTGAGTTCTGGGCATGGTCAGTATGTCTTTATAAGACTGATGGAACCAAGACACAGTCTTGCACGCTGCGGACGCATGGCGTGTCAGAAGGACTGGGTTGGCGCGGTGCCAACCCTCCGCTTAGCCGGCATCCACGATTGCAGAGACGAACTGGCGTCCGCCCGTTGAACTGCGTCTGCAAACTGTAGATGGCTAAAAATATGTTGTAAGAAACAGGTCGAGAAAACTTCACTAGATCGAAGTAAACAAGTGCTAAAAATCATGACAGTCCAAATAATTAAAATATGACAATAATTTATTTGGACCAAGCCAAAGAGAGAAAGAAAACACATAATTGGCAACACTCTTGCAGGTCATATTGGGTAAGAAAAAGGGGCCTACCCACTACGCCTGAAAACGGCCGCGTCTCACCGCGCCGGCTTCTCCTCTCCAAATTCCATAACACGGCGCACTGATTGGGCAGAACGTAGCGTCTCTAACAATAGTTGCCGCCTTAACTTGCAACTAATACTCCGCTTTCTGGGGCGTAAAGACGTACTCATGCCTTCTCCAACCCTGGGATATAAGTGTGAATACGCCCCTCCCTGGCAGCCATTCTCGCTTGGAAACGCCCCTTTCGATCCTCATATATGGACTGTACACCGTTTCACAAACCCAGTACTAACTGAGCTCCTAAAATCCTTGAGGGTTCATAAATTCTTTGGTTGTTGGTCATTTATAGTGGGCTCTGACAGGATAGCGCTGGAATCAAGTAGACGCTCCAGGGCATTATGAACGACAAACTGGCTAGGCTTATGGGTGATGGGAAGGATAGCGAAAGCCTGCCTCATAAGGCAATTCATGAAGTCTCTCACTTCATGAAGTCTGTCGAGCGTGACAGTGACAGAACGCTTCTAATCGATGAGAAAGTTCGCCTCTTCTGCAATGGATTGCTACGTCGGAATGTCTGTGATAGCAAGAACAGTACTGATATCCCTATCGTACCGTTAATGAGATGCTGTCCAAGTGGGCGGCTCTATGCAGGCAGCACACAGATGTAGCCGTCCCTACGGAAGCCAGAGAGGGCCAGCGGAAAACTCGACCAGACGAGCTCTCACTTAGGCGTATACTCGTCACGGCAAAGCAAATCACGGGGCGCACGCAATTGCTGGTTTTTGAAACTGGTGTTCGCATCTTTGTTTCATTTTCCGCGAGTAGACCTCGGACCACCACCCTCTAGACCGGTTGTCAACTCGTGTCCTGTGTCTGTGATCAGAGAGCAAGCCTTCCTCTTGTCAATTACATTTTCTACAGATTAAATCTCTGTTTGATAGGGAATGTAATCTGAAACGTCAACTATCGGAGATTGATTCCGCTCGGACATGAGGAACCCGACGCAAAATCGAAAAATAAGAGAAAACCAGCGCGAGCGCAAATTGAGAGTTCCTAGGCGTGCGTTCAAACACGGAACTTATATTCTTTGAGTGGCTCCTCGCAGGGAGGAAAAAAAAGAAAAAAAAAGACGCGGAGAGACAAGTACTAAGTCCTCCAAGTATGCAGGCAGGATATTGCATCGCAAGAGTATGTAAAAGTAAGCAATCCGTAGAGCTACTGTAATGAGTTCTACGGATCTGCTAGTTTTCACATACAGGGGGGGGGCCAAAAAAAGTCACTTCGGCCGAGTCACATATCAGCGAAGTTTTCGCAGCCCAGACAGAGGAAGTGGATATGAGTACCAGGGCGGAAGATACCCAAGATGTCCTCGATAAGCAGGAGCAGGCTGCCGGCCTTTCCTTCACGTAAAATATGAAGTCATCTCGAATCCCAACCGGACCGGAGGATTATGGTTACCGTCACCTACAAACAGCTGCGGAATTCTTAAATGGATCACCTACGAACAGCTACCTGCAGACCAGCACTCTCGATCTGGAAACCTCCAACATCGAGCAGCTCCGACAACGTCGCTACGGTCCAGGATATCATCTTCACCGCAGTCGCCAAGGCGCGAGTTGGTGGTATGGACCGGAAGTTCCTGGAATGTGAAAACCGATATTTTTTCGTGGACCCCGGCCTGAAGGTGAGCGCTGACATCGACCAACTCGTGAAGAATATCCTGCCTTCATGTCATCGCCTGTACCTTCTTGGAGACTTCGTACTGCTACAGGATTGGGTGCCTCCACACGGAATCGAAGGGCATTGGAAAAACTTTGCCTACTTGGAATGGAAGGACGTTGAGTACCTGAAGAAGGACTGAATATCGAGTGTGTCGTCTAGCCGTAAACCCACTGCAAAATACGCCGGTTCGGGGCAGAGCTCAACAGAGTGGTCTACAGTGGCGGAGAAATCAACGATCTCGCTGAACTCATGGCCACCGAATCACGGTCGCGTGGCAGAATCTCTCGATGGCGTTCGTCCAGAAGGCTGTGAGTGGAGCATCATGATAGTGCACAATATGGAGGGCTGTGATGGAGCAAATCATGATAGTACACTATATGCTGTTGAATATGGAGGTGGAAATTTCTTATCACAATTCAATTAGGTGTAACTTATGGCGCGCTGAAAGTCAAGGGAGAAATGCTTTTTTTTGGTCGCCCGCTTGGCATGCCAAAAGCGACATGCTGCTGCCTCTGGCTCACTGATTGTTTCTTCGTGCCAGCGAATTCTAACACCATCTAATAGCGAAAAAAAATGAAAAACAGGGAGTGACAAGTGAACTCGTGACCAGAAATAGCCTTTGGATTCCGGTGAGCGGGTGTCAGCACCGCCACTTATGTGGGCTGCAGCGCCTCCATTACCTGAAGTAAAGTCGCGGAAGCGTTATAATCTTAGAGAGTGAGGACCAGACTACAGGGTGGGGGGGGGGTGCAGTAAAAGACGACCCTTAGCCGGGTCACATATCGGTGAAGTTTACGCAGCCCAGACAAAAGGCATGGATACGGGTACCAAGGCGGAAGATACCCAAGATGTCCTCGATGGGCACGAGCAGGGTCTCGTCCGTCACCTTCATGTACACCAAAATATGAAGGCATCTCCGTCGCAGCCTGACTGTAGAAGGCCTTAGAATTCACGTCACCTCTAAACAGCTGTGAAACTTCTTGCATGGGTCACCCATGACACTACCGTAGAGACCGGCACTCCTGACGTCTAATAACGCTCCACATGCATGCACGCGACAACGTCGCTACGGTCCAGGATATCATCTTCACCGCAGTCGCCAAGGCGCGAGTTGGTGGTATGGACCGGAAGTTCCTGGAATGTGAAGACCAATATTTTCTTCGTGGACCAGGCTGAAAGTGAGCTGACGGTTTAGGCTGCGTTTATACTTTGCGGCAGCGTAGCGTAGCGTAGCGCAGCGTAGCGTAGCGCTTCCAGCGTACGCCAGCGGCAGTGCCGAAGAGAGGATGCATATCGATCTAGCTTCACCAGCGTCACCAGCGGCACGCTGGCGTAGCGAGGGCACGGGAAGCATAGCTATCGATCTAGCTTCACCAGCGTTTCTCGAGCGTTTCTCCAGCGGCACCAGCGTTTTGCTAGCGCTTGCAGCGGCAGGGAGTAGAGACTATGTGGCCGTGAGAGACGCGGAATCGACGTGTATTGTAGAGACCATGTGGCCGTCGGAGACGCAGAAGCGATGTGCATTGTAGAGACTATGGGCCGTCGGAGACGCAGAAGCGATGTGCATTGTAGAGACTAAGGGCGAGTGAGAGACGCGCAATCGATGTGTTTTGTACCCTCCAGCTCTCCCATAGTCTCTACTCCCCTGCCGCTGCAAACGCTAGCAAAACGCTGGTGAAACGCTGGAGAAACGCTGGCGTACGCTAGCGTGCCGCTAGCGTACGCCAGCGTGCCGCTGGTGACGCTGGTGAAGCTAGATCGATATGCATCCTCTCTTCGGCACTGCCGCTGGCGTACGCTGGAAGCGCTACGCTACGCTGCCGCAAAGTATAAACGCAGCCTTAATGCGATTAATCAGGTCTCCCCTGCTGCCCATATCGTCAACCTGTAAAATCTGGAAACTTCGTAGTGCTAAGGTTTCGGTACCAACACATGGAATTGAAGGGCGTTGGAGAAACTCTCGCCTACTTGGATTAAGGGCGTTAAAGAATCTGAAAAGGCGGAACATCGAAGTGTGTCACCTGATCTGAACGCCCCTCTCATTACGCGGGCTTTCAGCGGAATATCAACAGAGTGTCTACAATAGCGGAGAATTCAAGGACCTTGCTGAAGTCAGGTACCAAATCGCATGGTCGCGTGGAAGAATCTCTCGATAGCGCTCGTCCAGAAGGCTGTGGCGGAAGCTTTCGTGATGCGTGAACAATGTGCTGTTGGATATTGAGCGGTAGAAATGTTCTAATCAGAATTTGATCAGTGTAAGCTTAGATGCGCCTTGAAAGTCGAGAAAGAAATAGTGCCTTTTTTGCGCTCCCCCCCCCCCTCCGTACTTCTATAAGGAAGGATGCTCTCAAATTGGTCGAGCGCGAGGACTGTCAAGATGACGAACGAAGCTCCATTGCTATCCAATTTCATTGAAGCCCGTTATAAATGACTTAAAAATGAATAGGTCATAAATATGGAAAAGAATTCCTCGGAACTGTCCCATGAGCCAATAAACCACTTCAGAGTGGGCAAATGAAAAGCGAAAAGAAAAATTTATAGGTGAGGACATTAACCGTCTTTGTAGACAAGACATGTGATGTCGTTTTTGGTATGTACACAGTACTCATGAGTGTGAACAATGTAGGAAAAACCGCATTCAGCGCAGATCACACCAAAACTGCCATCAAACGCTCGACTGATTGCACGAATGAACCGCTCGTTTCGTCTCGGCCATCTGATCGCCCATCGCCTGAAATTGATCCCATTCTCTACAGTGTTCAATGGAAAAATGGATGAAATAAACATAAAAACGGGCAGTCCAATCGTATAGGCGGGGGAGAGTAATCGCCCTTCTTTGACTGGCAGCACTACTTACAAGGGCT